TGAGTGCAGCCTGGTGGATTTCCTCCAAGGTACACAGTGGCATTTCTAAGCCGCACAGTGCACTGCTTTGTGACAGATTTAGCTTTTGCTAGTACAGAAAAAAAGAGGTTTCTGGGCTACACACTGCTGAATGGAAGCATAGATCCACTGCTTCCCATAGTCAGCGGTGAGCCTGGTTCTGAGAGCTGACAGTAAACATAGTTCTGTCATGTGGGGAAGCTGAGGTAGGTGGAGCCAGCAGACAAAGCTGCCATTTCAGTCCTAGTAAAGCTGTAATTTAAAGCAATAGATTTACAATAAGGCATATTCAGATGGAACAAGACTTTGAATGGTTTACAGTATGTGTAAAAATGTATGTAGGCTTGGAAGACAGAAGAAAATGAATATAGACAGTTATATAAAGAAACAGTTTTAAAAAATAAAGTCTTTAAAGAGACAGTAAAGGTAATATAAAAATAAGCCATATAAAGATGGATATTACACTGAGAATCTGGATTTTGTTGTCTTTGATATTTTTAACTCCAGGAAGACATTTGCTTGTAAAGGCTGCTAAATTAAGCCTATCTATACATATTAAAGTCATATTAGTTAAGTTTTCTATGTATACATAGATATATTTCAAATAGGTAGATAATTTTCAAACACTTCAAAGACCTACAGGTTATGGCATTTAAAATGTTTTAAAAACTTGGACTTTCTAGACAACAAGACACGTCAGCTCCTGGCAACACTGATTTGCTTCAAACAGAGAGATGGGTGTCAAAGACACTCCATATGGAGTTTATATTCTTCTTGGCAAAAACAGCCATTTGGGCAAGAAACTGTTCTTTTTTGGTGAGTTACACTGTATTTTTATTTCTTTGAGGCAGAAACTATAAAATACTGAATTATTACTTCACAGCAAAGCTGCTATTTAAAAAAATTCAATATTGGCTGCTGTCAGATCAGTGTCTAAATTTATTGACATAAGACATAGATTTAAACTGAGGTGAAGGCAAGGTCAGGTCAATATTTATCTTGTGAATCAATAGATTTGGATATGAATAAAAAGTAATACTAAATACATGTGCATGGTTGGTAGGAAGGTGAAATAGCAGATCAGAAAGTTTGTAGTTGGGATTGGATATCATTTACCCTCAGAGTATAAAAGGGTCATAATGCTAGGTAACAGTACCAAGAATATAAGATACATAATGGAGACATACAATACTTGTGTCTCCAGAAGACAATCATTGCATTATTAGCCATTAAAATTCTTTTTCATGTTAGCTCTTATTTATGTCTTAGGACAAAACAGAAACAAGTAGGAGGATACTGAGTTCTAACATGGAATTGTGCTAATTTTTTTAACCAGTGTCACTTGAAATTTTGTTTCTCAGTATAAGCTATAATTTCTTGGATACTTATTTATCATTTGCCTAATAGTGCACTTGTGTGCTAAGATACCCCATATACTCTAGACACACAACTCTTTAATTACTTAAAGGGATACTGTTTTCTGTATTTCCTAAGCAAATTCTCACAAATTCTCAGCTCTTCACATCAGTTCCACATAACAGAAAATTGTCCAATATTTACTGAGTTTTAAGTAGAGAAATCTGAAATACTTGTTATCTTAACTTTTTTTCTTATACATTTTTCTACTTAAAACTCAGTAAATAGTAGACAAGAAAATGTTTTTGCCTGCACTGCTTGACAAAATATCATATGGACTGGACATGCAGGACCTATAGAAAGGTGACCACTGAACTTTGCAAGGCAGATGGTCCTTCCAGTTCCTGCTTCACAGAAGAAACTGCCAGACATTGTACAGGATATAGAAAAAAATACTGAGAGACTAGGCCTATGGGCTGAAAATGGATGCCCCAACATTACAGGGGAACTTTGGATGACTGTCCAGGCATCCAGCTGTCACTGTCATTCTAGATTTTTGAAAGTTGCTTACAATGCACTTCCTGTTTACTTAGATAATTTTGTATCCTTCTGGGGTCTTTGATGTAGTTGAAGACTAGATAGTTATAATTTGCTTTTCCTTGTTTATGATAAGAGATAAGATAGATGTGAAACTTTAGACTCACAAACTTTAGTATTTTCTTTAATTTTAGAAAATATAAATAGACAGATATTATAATTCTGCCTCGATAACTGTTTTGTTATATATAATTTTACTATGTTAAAGTTTTTTTTTTGTTTTTGTTGTTGTTTTTTTAAATTTTGCTCCTTATGCTTTATGTTTGGGGATTCTTTTTTTTTAATTTTGTTTTTTGGGTTTTTTTATTTTTGATTGTTTTTATTTAAAGATTTATTTATTTATTATGTATACAGTGAGTTCTGCCTGCAGCCCAGAAGAGAGCACCAGATCTCATTACAGATGGTTGTGAGTCACCATGTGGTTTCTGGGAATTGAACTCAGGACCTCTGGTAGAGCAAGCATCCAATCCTCTTAACTTCTGAGCCATCTCTCCAGCCCTACTATGTTAAAGTTAAAAGTTTCCTTTTTAATTAAACAGAAAAGGGGAAATGCTGTGTGGTAATATTTTGTACACTGATTTAATAAAATGGTGATTGGCCTGTAGTCAGGCAGGAAATATAAGCAGAATAAGCAGACAAGGAGAATTCTGGGAAGGGGAAGGCTGATTCAGGAGATATTAGGCTGCCATCCAGAGAACAACATGTAATGGCACATAAGTAAAACCAAGGAACACATGGTGACATATAGATTAACAGAAGTGGGTTGAGTTTAAGTGCAAGAGCTAGTCAGTAGTAAGCTTGAGCTAATGGCTGAGCAGTTTTTATTACTATAAGCCTCTGTGTGTTTACTTGGGTCTGAGTGGCTGCAGAACTGTGGGTTGGGTCCAGGAAAACTTCCAAGCTACAACATAACACATAGAGTTTATTTTTTAAAATTATATATTTGGGAGTGTGTGTGTGTGTGTGTGTGTGTGTGTGTGTGTGTGTGTGTGTGTGTAAAAACAAACAATAATAAAGAGGCCATAAATTTAAATGTGAACCAAGAGGGTTATATGGGTGTATTTGGAAAGTAGAAAGGAAAGGGGAAAAATGCAGTTATATTATAATGTCAAAAAAATTAATATAGTTAAATAAAAAAGCAGATCACATCCAAAAACATAGGTATAATTTTCAAAACATAAAAAGAGCATATGTCATAAAAATAATCATTCTAGCCAGGCAGTGGTGGCTCACGCCTTTAATCCCAGTACTTGGGAGCCAGAGGCAGATGGATCTCAGTGAGTTCAAGACCAGCGTGGGCAACAAAGAGAGTTCAAGAACAGGTCCCAAAGCTACACAGAGAATCCCTGTCTTGAAACCCCCCAAAAAAAATCTCTGAGGAATTAATAAAACAATAATTTCTAAGGTATGCAGCCATAGATTTTATTGAAAAAGAGATAAGTATCCTCTAGGCCCTCTCTGGCAGATTGGGATAGCTTGGTGTGTTTCCACAGGCTCTTACCCTGGCACATGATGGTGCAGCAATGAAAATTTCCTAAAGATCCAGGCAACAAAGGAAGAAATAGAGGAAGCCTGATATCAAATAATTAACTGAAGGATATACCTCTGAAACTTTGAGCAACAATGTTGCCAGATTCAGTTTCTCATGAACTTTAGACATGTAAGTGTCAATAGCCATGCTCAAAACCCTAAAAACTTTTCTTTCATATGAAGTAAAACAAAAGATAGTGGAGAAAATATATCTCATTCAGAAGATTTAAAAATGAAAAAAAAAATTTTACCAAAACAAGCACACACACAAATATTGATGACTTACTAACTGGTCAGCCCTGAAAACATAAAATAGTAATATTAGACAGACCTAGCAGGATATATATTTTATTTAGAAATATATATGTACATACATATAGTTATGTGCATGTAACTTCAAATAATGTTTTAAAAAGGATATGAATTTGCAAGAGTGCATAAGGGTATGTATAGGAGATACAGAAGAAGAAAGCATAAGGGTAAGTGTAAATATGTAATTATATTATTATTTATATAATAATATAGATATTGTTATGTAATTATATTATTATCTCAAAAATTAAAGAGATAAATTTTTAAAATATATAAAAAAATGAACTGCACCTTGATATATTTTCTTGCAATTTATCTTTCCCTAGAGAGACATGAAGAAAAGTCCATTCATCCAGGACAGGGCATCCATAAAATTAAAAAAAATTGCTCTAAACTTCAGTATGGTGAAGCAGTGAGCTTATTGGGGTGACAGATGGAATTGAGGCACACGCATCACCAAAAGGTCAACCCAGCAGCACCAATAACTTGGGACTCGTACAGAGCCAGACCTTCTATACCATGACAGCCAACAACTCCACTGGAAAGACCCCACTACCACAATAATAATCTACTATGGATACAAATGAGGCAATATTAAGAAGCCTTTTCAAACTACTAAGTTCATGAGCTTCTTTAATAGTGTAAGTGAATGCAGTGCCCCTCATCTAAGAAATATCCTCCCAAAAGGAAATTCTCTAATTTACAGAAAGCAGATTCACAACAGAGAAAATGCACCAAGCTGGGTAATGTAAGGAAAGACCATGGGGACAGAACAAAAACATCCAATGATCCTCTATTCACTTATTACTTAACTCATCTCAGGTTGAGAATTAGGTAATGAAATGGTAAGAGTGCCTGCTTCTTGGTATAATTTGAGGTCTGAATGATGTGAGTATTCAGTAAAATGGTCACATATGTCGACAAACTATCAGTAGTATTTTCTAATATTAATTCTTCTGTAACAATATATAATTCAATACTAAACTCATTTTTTGTAAAAATGAATAACAGCCTTAAAATATGACATAATAGGGTGGGGTTTTTTTTTGCTCATTTATAGGGAGAGCAGATTTCAAGATAGGATTTCTCTGTGTAGCCTTGGCTGTTCCTGAATTCATTCTGTAGACCAGGCTGGCCTCAAACTCAGAGATCTGCCTGCCTCTGCCTCAAAAATGCTATGATTAAAGGAGTGAGCCACCACTGCCCATCCATAATAAATTTTAACACTTCAATATTTATATAATGACACACTTTTTCAGTAAGCATAATACCATTATTAAATGAGGGAAAATATCGATAAACCATACATTCTCTAATTCAGACCCAACTCCATGAAAAGATTTCCCATCACGATGTCCACCATCTCTCCACACTGCCACTCTTTGTACTGAACTCATGATTTGGTGGTGCAGCATTTCTTTAGAACTTCCACATGATCCAGAAGCAATACCTTTCTAAGCTATAAATGTCATACAGCAGGTTGTTATAAAAATGGAGTCTCTGGGCCAGGAGGAGGTGGCACATGCCTTTAATTCCAGAACTTGGGAGGCAGAGACAGATAGATATCTGTGAGTTTGAGGCCAGCCTGGTCTACAGAGCAAGATCCAGGACAGGTACCAAAACAACTCAGAGAAACCCTGTCTCAAAAAAAAAATGGAGTCTCTGAAAGGACCTGATGGGATATGATTTTTATTATTTTTTAATTAAAACTTTTTTCTTTACTTTTACATACCAACTCCTGTTCACTCTCCCTCCCCTTCTCCTGCTCCCCCCACCTGCCCCCATCTCACCCCCATCCCCTCCTCATAGATAGTAAGGCCTGATGTTTTTAGGCAAGCACTTGTATGAGTACATAAGAATAATCACATTAAGACTGCATTCTCACTAACATATCATCATTACTTACACACACACACACACACACACACACACACACACAAATAAAACACTAAACATTTTTACTATGACCTGAGTCATCAGAGAGCCTCAGGGTTGGCACTGTGGCTGTAGTAGAATCTGTTGACTCTTCATCCAACACACCTGGCTGCTGTTGAAATCCTGGAATGTACAAATCCTCCTCTTAGTAGCATACCTTTTCACAAAAGAGAGGGGAAAATATTAATCTGGAAGCATAATTCCACACATGAAGAATAGACTTAATTATCTTCACTTACATGGCTTTATTATAGAATTTTATCAGTGAAGTTCTAATGAGGATTTAAGTCTTCCAGCTCTTTTTTTTTTTTTGGTTTGGTTTTTTGAGACAGGGTTTCTCTGTGTAGCTTTGTGCCTTTCCTGGAACTCACTTGGTAGACCAGGCTGGCCTCGAACTCACAGAGATCTGCCTGCTGCTGCCTCCTGAGTGCTTTGGATTAAAGGCGTGTGCCACCACTGCCCAGCTGTGCCCCACCACCGCCTGGCTGTTCCACCACCACCCGGCGTCTTCCAGTTCTTTACCACAAAATTATGCTTTGTTTCAGTATTTTTCCTTAGGAACTCTGCCTCAACACAAATCTTGACAACTTTCCT